CCAGTCGCCAGACCGATCTGACTCTAAAGAAGAGGAAATTGCGCTACTTCGCAGCAGGATAGCAGCAATGAAGGCTTCGAAGCAGCGGGTGCCACGGTCAAATGCTGACCACTTTTTGGCTACCGTTCATTGCGGCTCGTCTGTGCCTGCACCGAGTACGTCACGTTCGGCACGAAAGCGCAACATTTTCCTTACAAGTTCTCAGTCAGATAATGGCAAACATGTCGAAGAAGTATGTTGGTATCACCGCCAATACCGTGGAAGAGCTAGACGTTGTCGGGCTCCCTGCATTAGACACGAACCAGGGAAAACGAATAGCCCGCATACTAGCACTACAAACGTATCTTTCAATAACCAAGCAAACCGACTGTTTTACGTTAAGGATCGACGTTCTTCCGTCACGTTCCTCATCGACACAGGAGCAGAAGTCAGCGTCATCCCACCGACCGCTAGCGACAAGCACTCCAAGCCAACGTACAATTTGCGTGCAGCCAACGGTTCTCCGATAGCTTCATTCAGTCAGCGCATGATGAACCTGGACCTCAATCTTCGCCGAGATTTTCAGTGGGTCTTCATGTTTGCGTCTGTACCCTTCGCAATTATCGGTATCGACTTCCTCCGACATTTTGGGTTGCTTGTTGATGCTGGTCGCCACAGACTTTTAGACGACCGTACGAAACTAGGTGTTGATGGTGTCCTTTCAGATGCCCCGATAATCAGCCCTGTATTTCGGATCGCAGACGCACCGTCCGACTACTTGAGCCTCCTCTCCGAATACCCGCGACTGGTTCGACCGGCTGCAGAGCTTCCACCAGTCACGACAGAGGTCGCTCACCACATAGTTACGCGCGGTCAACCAGTTAGCGCACGACCAAGACGGCTTGCTCCAGACAAACTACGGGCAGCACGAGCCGAATTTGACCACATGCTTCAACTTGGTATCGTCAGACCGTCCAACAGCCCATGGGCGTCGCCTCTGCACATGGTCCCGAAGAAGGTTGTGGGGGACTGGCGTCCTTGCGGCGACTATCGATCCTTGAATACGGTAACCACGCCTGATCGCTATCCGATCCCACACATAGTGGATCTCACCGCCAGTCTGGCGGGTAAAAATATCTTCAGCAAAATCGACTTGGTACGCGCATACAACCAAATTCCGGTAGCCGAAGCGGACATCGCTAAAACTGCCGTGACGACTCCATTTGGTTTGTTCGAGTTTCTGCGCATGCCATTTGGCCTAAAGAACGCCGCGCAAACTTTTCAGCGTTTCATCGACCAAGTTTGTCGCGGTTTAGACTTCGCTTACGCGTATCTTGACGACATTTTAATCGCAAGCTCTTCACGAGAAGAGCACATACGCCACGTGCGAACACTTTTTGATCGTTTATCTCAACACGGGGTGACGATCAACGCAGAAAAGTGTTCGTTTGGTGTCGATTCAGTCAATTTCCTGGGACATCGTATCTCTTCTGCAGGCGTCGTGCCACTGCAGGATAAAATTCAAGCCATCATCGACTACCCCGAGCCTCATTCTTTCAAACAGCTCAGGCGTTTTGATGGCCTTGTCAACTTTTACCGACGATTTATACCCAACTGCGCCTCGCTGATGCAACCCCTCACGGACCTTCTCCGAGGGAAACTCAAGAAGTTCGAATTTCCTGCCGCAGCACGCGCTGCTTTTAAGTCGCTGAAAGAGGCTATCGCCAACATAGCTTCTATAGCGCATCACGATCCGGCCGCCCCACTGTCCCTCAGTACTGACGCCTCGGACGTGGCAGTCGGCGCTGTTTTGCAGCAACGAGTAGCCGACACGTGGCAGCCCTTAGCGTTTTTCTCCAAACGCCTACAACCTACCGAATCTCGCTACAGCACGTTCGGTAGAGAACTACTAGCAGTGTATCTAGCGATACGTCACTTTCGACACGTCCTAGAAGGCCGCTCCTTTGCCGTCTTCACCGACCACAAACCCCTGACTTACGTGCTCGGCTCGACTACCGACCGATACTCTCCTAGAGAGTCGCGCCACCTTGACTATATCGCTCAGTTTACGACCGATATACGGCATGTCTCAGGTGTGCACAACGCCGTCGCCGATGCACTTTCCCGCATCCAAGCTATTTCCGCTGACGCCGGCACTGCTATCGACTTGGCAGCCATGGCCACAGCACAACTCAACGATCCTGAGGTTGATCTACTACGCAGGTCTCCCTCATTGGATATACGACCCGTTCCGCTGACATCAGCAGACGGAACGATACTCTGCGATTTATCTCTGGGCACGCCGCGCCCAGTCGTCCCACGCGAGTTTCGGCAGACCGTGTTCGACGCGTTGCACGGCTTGTCTCATCCAGGCGTTCGTGCATCGGTTAAACTCGTAACCGCACGATTCGTTTGGCGCAATGTTAATCGGGACGTCCGTACCTGGGCAGCTGCTTGCCTTCCGTGTCAACGCGCGAAGGTGCACAAGCACACGAGAAGCCCATTAGGCACGTTTCCGACGCCAGACGCACGTTTTCATCACGTGCACGTCGACCTCGTAGGTCCTCTGCCGCCTTCCAAAGGCTCGGTATATCTACTGACCTGCATCGATCGATTTACTAGATGGCCTGAGGCCGTCCCCATCCCAAATTGCTCCTCGGAAACGGTAGCGAAAGCTTTTATGGAGCGCTGGGTAGCTCAATACGGCTGTCCCGCCATCGTGACCACCGATCGAGGGTCACATTTCTCGTCGACCTTTGCCACGTTGCTTAAGGATTTAGGCTGTCGCCACGTCCAGACGACGGCGTATCATCCGGCCGCTAACGGCATGGTGGAGCGTTTTCACCGCCAGTTGAAGGCAGCGCTACGTGCGCACGCAGATCCTTCATGGTCTGAAACGCTTCCCCTCGTTCTCCTAGGCTTAAGAAACACGGTTAAGACTGACTTCGACGCCACACCAGCGCAGCTAGTCTACGGTTGCACGCTGCGGTTGCCCGGACAGCTGGTAGCACCAGCCCCATGTACTTCCACTTTTGACTACGGAAGTTACACTGATCGATTGGCTCACCAGATGCGTGAGTTACGTCCACCCGCTCCTCGATCGCAGAAGACACCAGTGTACGTGCCCGAGAAGCTGTCTACGTGTTCACACGTCCTTCTTCGCGCAGACGGTGTTCGACAGCCTCTTCAGTCGCCGTACATAGGACCCTTCAAGGTGCTGCATCGTGCGAGTAAGGCGTACACTATTGACCGCGGTGGTCGACACGAAGTCGTCACCATCGACCGTCTGAAACCCGCCTTTATGGAAGAAACTACCTCGCCTACTTCGTCTAGTAGTGCCTCGTGCGACGTCACAACTCACCGTACCAGTTTTCCGCATGCTAATGAAGTCCAACCAGACCACGATCACGGTCTGCAAGCTTCAGCAGTCCCGACATCACCCGAACCTAGTCCGCCGCCTCCCACGACCAATCGCCGTGGTCGGGAGGTACGTAAGCCCGTTCGCTTCTCCGACTATGTACAGTGTAAATACTTTTAACTTTGTAGATATTGTATATATTTGCCTCATTTTTGGTCGATTAACGTTTTGAAAACAAACAAAAATATCAAAAACCCCCGAAAAACCTTTTTCGAAAAAAATATTCAAAAACCAAAAAATATTTAAACACGCAGATCATTCGTTTGTTCTTTTTGGCGTTTTCTGCGCGTGTTTTTCTATTTTCTCGTCCTTACATGCCCCAACCCTCCCCTTCGATCGACTGGCCCACACGAGGACCCTGACGCGAACACTGGTCGCTTCTCCGCGGGACGAGGATCGCTTCTTCGCGGGACGAGGATCGCTTCTCCGCGACACGAGGATCGCTTCTTCGCGGGACGAGGATCGCTTCTCCGCGAGACGAGGGTCGCTTCTCCGTGGGACCATGGTCGTTTTCTTCGTGGGACGAGGGTCGTTTTGGCGCGGGGCGGGGTGCGGCGGGGGAGAGACCACTCCCAAGCGCACCGTTTGGCAGCAGCGGAGGTTGAGGTCCTGTCGGCCTTTTTCTGGGCTAGCCAGTTTTTTGTAGTCCGACAAGCCCGCTCCAACGGCTCGCCGAAATGCACCCTGCCCTGCATTCAATAAATAACAAATCATAAACGGCACAGCGGACTCCGACTTCCGACGAACCCCCATTTACACGAACGCACGCCCATTTTTACTCGGCACGATTTCGCCTTACGAACCTGGTTTCAACATTCCTTTTCGATTTCGAAGGCTTTCTATGTTCAGCCTTCTAGGGGGGAGCTCTGTAGCGCCCAAAAAGATAACTCTTATCTTTCGTGTACAATTTACTTGTTGACCGATTGTACATTACTCCTTCTTGTTTTAATCTTACAACCGGCTCGACACACAACTGCCTTGTAAGTTCCCGCGCTCACGTGTACGCTCTTGCCTCGCTTCATCCGTCCGTTTCTTGTTGTAGTCCCATCGAATACAGTCCGCTGTGTCCGACTCCAATTGCCTTCTGATATCCGCGCTTAATTCCGCGCACCGTCTCGGACTAGTATTAACTAGTCCTACAAAATTTAAGTTCACCATTGACGAAGTCACGGAAAGTGCCTTCACTGAACCCGACATAAAAGGTGTGGAGCTGCTCCCAGGTAATCGAGGCCTATGATAATGCCCTTATGTGTGACAGCTCTCAAACGTGCCAAATAGTAGGGCAGAAATCAGCATTGTCTGTTAGTCATTTCGAGCTATGCTTTGCACCCTCGAAATACAAAGGCCGAAGCGTCGATTCGAATCGCGCCGCTCTGCTACTTACACACACAATAACGATGTCAACTCGAGTGGTGACGAAATGTTTGAAGCTAAACTACCGAGCTTAGCTAACACTCAGACCACTAACTGAACACATGAGCTACCAATATTTGCTTTAATATCACACTAAGTAACTTAGATAACAACTATGGGGAGTGTACACAATGCTAAGTTAACCAAAAGCACTCAATGAAAGTCCGCAGAAAGTGAAAAGATAACTCACCTTGATGATCTTTTCAAACATGTCTAACGGATGGGGGTTTCGCGTTCTCATATTGTATGTCTTGCAAGCATATGCCACACCGGCACAATTTACAAGAACATCAAGCCTCGAAAACTCTTTCTTCGCCAAATTAACTGCATTTGCTGCATCCGTCTCGGAAGTCACCTAGTTGATTAGTGTGTGGCAAAATGAGCCATACGTCAGTGTGATGATACAAGCAGTGTTTTTCGATTTCCCCAAAGCCATCCGTTTTTTGTATATCACATACTAGGACTTTGCATCCGCTGTTCAGTAACCTGAAAATATAGTTATACCCTCATCCCGAGCATTACTTTTTGGCTGTAGCAAGACCTAGGCCAGACGCACCGCCAGTGACAATAGCAGACAAACCCTGAAGCAGCCAGTGAAATGCGTCACAGAAACTAACCTTAAGGTTGGTAAACAAACCGGCGGCATTCGCCATTGCTGTCGAATGGAGCGGCGTGGCAGCCACGCCGCATACAAGTACACCTTTTCGTTAAGCCAATGGCAGATACGCGCTCTGTTCCGCCCATTGGTCCAGAGGCTACATGCCTCAAGGTCCTTTGGTGAGACAGACAGCCGGTTTTTCGTGCGTTGGTAGTTGGTCTGGATGCTTTTGTGGATAGTGTGTTATAGGTAGGAATTCGTCACAGTGTGTTCGTCTATCGTTAACGGTCCGCTTAGATCCGCTGGGTAACAGGCTATCCACTAAATGGTCGGAGTGCTGCATTAGTCTGGAGGCGCGGCGTAGTGACAACACCGCAAGGTTATTTAAGGAGCATTGTTTCAGCAGTCTATTGTAGTGTTATGACCTGTTGCTTGATTTTATCAACTTGTAACTTTCCTCCATACTTTAGCCATTAGAGCAGGTAGAAAAATTGTCAGCTACTGCATAGATCTACTTGTCACATTTCACCGACTTGTAGGGAAGCGTTAAATAAGAATACCAAATCAGTTAAAAATTAGTTGCACCTCACCTAAAGAGATCTTGATTCACTTCAGCGTCTGACAACGGTAGATAGCAAGCTATGTCGAGGTATACTCATGTATTTTCCGACGGGATCAGTCAGGCATCAGCGCGCAAAATCACAATAAACCGGTGGCAAACAAGGAAGGATCACGCGAAGACGAGCTACGACGAGTCGAAACAACACGACCGAAAATTGTGTGTGTAGAGCTGCTCGAGGTCGGAGGACAGAGGATTCGAGCTACTGACGTCAGTAGGTTGTTGGGTCCGTATTATCCACTTATTGTTCGGCCTAAACAGGTGTAAAGCGATCGATGCTTACGGATTCTTTCGATCCACTCTTTAAAACGAAATACTTCCATTTCGGAGATATGACCTGATATGAGCCTTCACAGGGCGGAGCCAAAGACCAAGGGACGTCATCGACGCGGATGACGACCACTTGACAGTTGTGCGAATCGGGGCGAATGTGCTGTTTACGCACGTTATGTCCCGTAGAACTCGGTCGAATGGGTCGAAAATGTTATTTGATGCCTTCAGCGTGCGACGTGGGTTCAAATTCTCCGGTGATGCGATAGTCAAGTACCATTTCACCAGGTAGACTGAAGGTGGTATCGAACACGAGCTCTGAAGGACAGCACCCAATGTCTCTTTGCTGGTATAGCGAATGCCGAGGAGGATAGCAGGGAGACTCTCAGGCCAACGAGAATCGGGTGAACTAGTCAAAATAGCGACGTTTAATTGTCCATAAAAGCGCTCGATGAGACCATTATTGGCGGGATGATCCCCGAGTGTTCGTAAGTGTGCGCAACCCAACAAAAGACCCAAATCATGAAACAATGTGCAATTGAACTGTATCCTTCAGTCGGCAGTCATGGTGGCTGAAACGACAAACAGAGAAATCAAGGATTCAACAAAGGCACGAGCAACAGATTCAGCAGACGTACCCGTAGAGGAACAGCTTGTGGCCAACGGGTAAAATTGTCGACACGTGTTAAAAGAAGTGTACCCATTATAAGGAGGAAATGGCGCAAATATATCCACGTGAAAGTGATTGAAACGTGCTTAAAAGTAAAAAAAATACCGCGAATAGTGACAGTGGGGTCATGAATTTAACTAGTTTGGCAATTAAGATTAGTACACGCAGGATTTTCCTTTCACAAATTTCAAAATAGCAAGGAGAAAAAACATTTTAACAGGATACGCTGAATTCAGGTATTTCGAGTGTTCTCCTCAGCTGTTTACACACATTGGTGAAATTATCGCGTTGCGTACAAAAGGGAAGCAATGTACAAGGTCATTCAGTTCAAAGGAAAACGATCAATAACCTCACCAAGGTAGGGCGAGGCTGGCCGTAAGTTCAGTCTGCTTGCACAAATTGGGCTTAAGCCGCCGAATAGCTGAGGCTTCGGCAAACTGAAGCAATCGGGCATTGCTCTGTAGGTTAATTACTTTAAACAAATCACGAGGACGTTGGCACATTGTGCAATCCAGGACGTGTTGAGCAATAGAGCTAGCCGGCAGTTTGGGACCGTTAGCGACCATATTTCGTGGAATGTGCTCTGAAATCCTAGTGGATAGCCTCCTCTCAGTTCGGCCAACGTACTTGTTACCACAAGTACAGTGGAATAGATACACACAAGAAGCGGTAATGTGAGGGTGTGGCTTTATAGTGTCTGACAGAGAGTTAGAACCGCTGCGAATTGGACCTTAGCACGATTGCTCACGGTCAGGTTACGAAAGGTGAAAAAACAGCAAACCTGTCCGCTGGCACGAACGGAGTAATCGAACACTGATCGTAAATAGAGATCCGAAGACTGATGTGAAGCACACACAACACTCGAAGGCGGCACAACGTCACCGACACCAGAAGACGAACGAACTTCGATGAAGAGTATATATCTTGTAGTGAGTTAAAACAAATGTACAAAAATTGACGGAAGATAGAATAGGAAGTTACAAGGAAAAATGTGAAGAATTTATAAACACTACAGCTTGTCCAACTTGGATTGGCAGAGCAACTTCCTAACTTGGTGCAATAACACCAATTCGGCCGCGTACTAACATTTCCCAACTGCCTGGCGGAGACGGGCGCTGGCATCTTCTATTGTTTTATTTGCCTTTAAATGGCAGCGTAATACACACTTTTTTGTGGAGGAAACTTATCAGAGACTTTTTCCTATTTTTTGTTCTCGCGTACCGGGCTATGAATCTCGCGAGGTATCTATTTTCATGTCGGGTTGATGACACATGTTTTAGTTCACTGTCGATCGTACCTTCGGAACAAATCTTACGAGTTCCTGCGAAGGCAAAGCGGACCCATGCTCGTTTGTAATTAGTAGGACAGAAACTGTTGAAGTTCAAAGATTGTCCAGTCCCAGTAGGTTTTCGATACACAGGTCGAGTTGTTTGCAATTTGTGAAGGGAAAATCCTGCACGAAATTTCTTAGGATACGCCTCCCTGCAGATACATACCTCCAGTTGGATTACCTAGTGGAATTATACGGTTATATCTCACGCAAGTCTACTCGTGTGAATATCTACACCGAATGTTCTCGGACGTTTCTTTACCCTCGCCAGTCTGTAAAATCTTGGAGAAACCTCACAGAATTTACAAAGGCTGACCTGACCACACGTTGAAGCCTGCAAACAGCGCATTGCCGAGTTGAAAGCCAGGATACGATGTGTCAACCAAGTCTTAGCTAGTCTGAATCTTGTGTGTCATGCAAAATTTTTCAAGTTTCTTTGGCATTTACTAATGAAAACACAGTCAAGGGCGAAACAATTACTTGTGAGCGCCATGTCATCTGGATTCATTAATATCCAACTACCGGTAGCGCCTGAGAAGTATGTGCTAAACATTTAGACCATCTCATTAAGTCGCTCACCACTTGAAGCTTTATCTTTAGGGTTCAATTTTTCAGTACCATCGAAGTAGTGCAACAGAATATAGATTGAAGCATAGCTCGAACATTTGTACGAGCAATTGTCCAGTTTGACACCAGTCACCGACGATGCATGCGGTTGGTTTAAGGCTAAGACAGTGGACTTAGCTAACCAGTTTTGCGTAGCTGGCACTGAAAGATGCAGAATTTTCACAAAGGAACACTGAGAATCATTGAAGAATCTATGCCAAAAAGAGAACGCGGTAATACTGAAACCTGACAAGGGATCGGGTATGGAAAAACTAGATTATATTACAAAAATACACGCGATGCTTGTAGACATTAACCGCTTCGTTTGCAACCTAACGGGTCACGATAGAACCGAACAAGTTGAAAGATCCATAGTTCGTGAAGTTAAAAGGTTACTGAAGGCTGGATCGATTGGTGCAAAGACCATGACACAACTGCGCCCGCGTGAACTCGAATTCCCTATATGTCTGGTTTGCCGAAGACACACAAGGGAGGCATTCCGATGCGTCCGGTCGGATCAGTGGTAAATGCGCCATATCATAAGCTGGCACGCTGGCTAACTGAGCTGATGGGAGCTAGCCAGGTTTACCCTCAAAGATAGGTTTCAGTTCGTCGACAAAATACGGGGTTTAAACGTTGATGCGAGATATATGGTCTCTTATGATGTACGCTCACATTTCACCAAAGTCCCAGTGGAAGAGACATTAGACATCATCGGTGCCCATGCTGACAAAGATGAGTTTCCACCACATCATCCCGCCTTTACTCGGTTGGTGCACCAAAGACATACAGTTCCAATACAACGGAACATTATACCGTCAGGTCGATGGCGTAGTCATGAGCAGTCCACTTGGGCTAGTCTTGGCTGACATTTTCACGGGCCACTTGGAGCATACAAAATTACGTCCTTACATACAGAAGGTGCACATGTACAGTAGATATCTTGACGACACGTTCGTTGTAGTTGATAGCCCTCAAAAAGCAGAAGGTTTCCTTGAAATTGTAAATAAATACCGAACTGCGAGCAAATTCACCATTGAAAGCGTGTTGGACAACGCCTTCCACTTCTTGAATGTACACATGAAAACGAATGCAGAAGGCAAAGTCACTCGATCGAAAGCCTACTTGGACTGGACAGTATTTGAATTTCAACAGCTTCTGTCCTATTAACTACAAACGAACATTAGTAGGCTCTGCCTCCGCAAAAACTCGTAAAATTTGTTCCCAAGGTACGATCAACTGTGAATTAAAACTGGTGTCATCAACACGACGCGAAAATAGATACACCGCGAGATTCATAGCCCGGTACGCGAGTGTAGCGCACTAAAAGATAAATGCTTTCTTTCGTGTACAATATAATGGTTGACAGATTGCACATTATTACTTCTTGTTATCATCTTCCTTACAACCGGCTCATCACACAACCAAATTGTAAGTTCCCGCGCTCACGTGTTCGCTCTTATCTCGCTTCATCCGTCCGCCTCTTTTTGTAGCCCGTCGAATACAGTCCGCTGTGTCCGAATCCGATTGTCTTCTGATATCCGCGCTTAATTCCGCGCACCGTCTCGGACTAGTGTTAACTAGTCCTACAAATTGGTGACCCCGATTCGCACGCGCCAATTCAACTTTTTTGCCTCGTTTGTA